TGCTTTGTCTGTAGTAGGGATGAGTCGTGGGAAGCTCGTACCTGTTTTGCTTTCGGTAGCAGTTGGTTCTCAGGCCGAAAGGCACGCGCGGGAACGTTAGTGATTGGATGTTGCCCATATGAATGTACTATAACCTTTCATGCGCATAGTTTGCCCGTCATTCCTAACAGTGTTCCTGTCCATGCATCTATAGCTTCAAATAAAGTAAAACCTTCCTGCAAGTGTGTACTTCATTGTTGCTGTGGGGCCTGACATTAAGCAGCAATTCCCTTCTTCTAGAAAAGGGGCTTCATGTTACCTGAAAGGCACCCTGGTTCTTGTGAACACAAGTTGGATTGCATTTCTAAAAGCATAAACCAAAATTTCAAGTTAAAATGGTCTGGCAGTACTAGAAGAGTACAGAACTATGTGTGTGTACTGTAGGAACCTCCCTAGAAGCTACAATGTCTAAACTGAGGCCATCTGTCATAAAGTAAAGGTAAAGGTTCCCTTGCTCGAAAGCCAGTCAAATCCGACTCTAGGGTTGCGGTGCTCATCTCCGTTTCAAAGCCGAAGAGCCAGCGCTGTCCGAAGATGTTTCCGTGGTCATGTGGCCGGCATGACTAAACACCAAGGCGCACGGAATGCTGTTACCTTCCCACTGAAGTGGTACCTATTTATCTACTTGCAATTTCTTGCTTTCGAACTGCTGGGTTGGCAGGACCATCTGTCATACTTTGGTCATATTATGAGAAAAGACTCACTAGAAAATACAATAATGCTATGAAAAGTCGAAGGCCGCAGGAAAAGGAGACCCAACATGAGATGGATTAATGGAGGGGCTGTGGCTCAGTGGCAGAACATCTGCTTGGCATGCAGAAAGTCCCAGGTTCAATCCCAGGAATCTCCAGTTAAAAGATCTGGCAGTAGGTGATGTGAAAGACCTCTGCCTGAGACCTTGGAGAGCTGCTGTCAGTCTGAATGGACAATACGGATATTGATAGACTGAAGGTCTGATTCAGTATAAGGCAGTTTCATGCAGGGGTCATTTCGTAGAAAAAGAGGTGCAGGAGCTCATTAGCATAACTTATTTGCATATGCCACACCCCCTGACATTACCGGATGTGTGTCAGAAGGCAACACCCACCACTCAGACTCCACTGGACTGTTTTGGAGTCCTAGCTAATTGGGGGGGGGGGTAACGTGCAGATCTGTCCTCACAGGGGAGGGAGAGCTTGTACCTGAATAAAACTTGGTCTTAAAGGTGCCACTGGACTGTTTTGGGCCGTGGGGGCTCTGCAACTTACCTGTCTGCTTCTTGCTCTGACGGAGGGCTGCTGGGGGCAGGGGGTGGGGCTTGTTGCATGTGCCCGCCCCCTGGGCTCTTTATTGCCGGAGCTCCGCTCCTGTGCGCTCCTGCAGGAAATGACCCCTGGTTTCATGTGTTCATGTGACACAGTCAGGACCTCAGTCTGCAAGACCTGAGCAAGGCTGTTAACGACAGGGCATTTGGGAGGTCATTAATTCACAGGGCAACTTGATGGCACTTAAGACACATACACTGAAAAACCTCTCTGAAGGAAGGTTTGGTTAAGCAGTAGACGTCCTCCGCAACCTGAAAGCATTCTTGGAGTGTGCAATAGCGCCCCCACCGCCAGAAATGGTGAAATCCCTGAATGCCGCAGAAAAACACATCTTTGGCTTTCAATTCATGACTGCAAGGGGAAATACAACAATTTCTTGGGAAAAAGCAAAATGCCACAAGCAAACTCGTGGTGTTGGTGGGGAGAAGGAAACTGAAGCAGTGCTTCTGGGCCATGCTTGTTTATGGAAGCGGTGCTGGTGCCCAGGGAATGAACCACAGCTATGACCAAATTATTAAGCAAGTCTTTTGAAGACATCAGATTTACAGCAGGACTTTGGAAAAGTTGCATGAATCACAAATGTTTCTTTTTTGCTACAATTTTTAAGTTACCAACTGAAACATCTTTGGGCCTGTGCAGATGGTAAAAGGACAGGGGCTCCAGGCCTTTTGGGCCTGCAGGAATTTTGAGAGTAAGAGGTAAGCGCAATCCCCAAATAGCTGCTGCAGGGGGCAGAGTCAAACCCAAAATGGCTACCACAAAACGCAGAGCCAAACATGACCCCTGCCTTTACAAAAGAATCACCAAAGGAGAAAAGAGGGAGAAAGGGAGACTGAAAACCTGAAGGCTCAGATCTGTGCACTAAGGCAGGCCTGGGTATTTTCAGTCCTCCTGATTCTCCAGGGGCTGCAGCCGCTATTGCAGCCCTAAGTAAAAGGTAAAGGTTCCCTTGCTCGAAAGCCAGTCGAGTCCGACTCTAGGGTTGCGGTGCTCATCTCCGTTTCCAAGCCGAAGAGCCAGCACTGTCCGAAGACGTTTCCGTGGTCATGTGGCCGGCATGACTAAACACCAAGGCGTACGGAACGCTGTTCCCTTCCCACCGAAGCGGTACCTATTTATCTACTTGCAATTTCTTGCTTTCAAACTGCTAGGTTGGCAGGAGCTGGAACTAGAGACGGGAGCTCACTCCATCATGCGGCAACCCAGGTCTTGAACTGCTGAACTACTGACCTTCCACAGCCTGCAGTTCAGCGTCTTAACCACTTGAGCCACCGCAGCTCCTTTTATTGCAGCCCTAGAAAACCTTTTAAATTGAATGAAGGCAGCTAATAACAAGCTTCCAGCGGCCCTGTCTCGTTTTAAAAAGCTTGGCAGTCACCAGGGAAATTACTGGAGGGAACTATGGTGCCCATAAGCACCCAGAACCTATAGACACATCGGGTGGATGCAGGACTTCACTTATACAGGTGTTGCTCACATTTTTTAAATCCTGCCTTTCCTCCAAGCAGCTCAGGGGAAACTACATGATTCCCCCCCACCCAGCCAATTTATCATCACAGCCACCCTGGTCACTGAGCGCTTTTTGTGGCCAGCAGGGATTTCAACCTGGAACCGCCCAGGTCTCAGTTGAAGCATTTGAACCACAAAACCACAGTGTAACATTGCAGACTGACCATACAGAGTTTGCCTTCTGCAGATGAAAATGTCGTGTCCCTCGAGACTCAGCAGATGGCCCCCTCTTGCCACAGCCACAGATGCCTCGGGGAGTTTAATACTGCCTTTTATTAAGGCAGCTAACTCATTTTCGGTCAGCTGCCCCAACATAGCACAGGCAAAAGGATCTGCGTGGCGGGTAGAACCACACGCACACTATTTTGAAGCAACTCTTTCAACACAAGGGGCTGGGAAGTCCATTGTCATGCCTTAAACCAAAGGACTGGCACCGATACAAGGCTACATTTCACATGTGGCCAATTAAGGACCATTGGCTTCGCTCCAAAATGAGAGCAGTCATCCCCACCTTAAAAAGAAAAAAGAACTCTTGAAATGTGGTTGATTCATTTGAAATGTGGTGTTGGGGGAGAGTTTTACAGATACCGTGGACCACCACGAAGACACAGGTGTGTGTTCTGGATCAAATGAAGCCTGAAGTCTCCCTAGAAACTAAAATGACTACACTGAGCAATGTTCCCTTTAAGCTGTGGAGTCTGGTGAGCAAAAATTCTACTTTGTGAGCCACTGGCATTCAAGTTGTGAGCAAGCGATTTGGCTACTGCATCAATTAGTTTGCTCTGGAGCCATCCTTCCTGAGCGAAGACAAAAATCTGTAAGCCGGAGGCTAAAAAACCATGAGCTAGCTCACACTAACTCAGCTTAGAGGGAACACTGACGCTGAGGCTATCATACTTTGGTCACATTGAGAAGAGTCACTGGAAAAGACAATAATGCTAGGAAAAGTTGGAAGGCATCTCAAACTGGAAGGCCATAGGAAAAGAGAAGACCCAACATAGGATGGGTCGACTCAAAGGATGCCACGCTAACCAGTTTGCAAGACCTGAGCAAGGCGGTTAACAATAGGACCGTTTGGGTGACATTAACTCATAGGATCACCACAAGTTGGAAGCAACTTGACATCCCTTACCATACACATTCAAAAATCTGTTAAGAGTGGAACAAGTGTTTACTTAAGTGTTCAGTGTTTTGGGCAGAATTTATCAGATTTTAAGGGCAGGTATTCTTTTTATGGAGCTGCGGTGGCTCAAGTGGTTAAAACGCTGAACTGCAGGCTGTGGAAGGTCAGTAGTTCAGCAGTTCGAGACCCGAGTTGCTGCATGATGGAGTGAGCTCCCGTCTCTTGTTCCAGCTCCTGCCAACCTAGCAGTTCGAAAGCAAGAAATTGCAAGTAGATAAATAGGTACCACTTCGGTGGGAAGGTAACAGCGTTCCGTGCGCCTTGGTGCTTAGTCATGCCAGCCACATGACCACGGAAACGTCTTCGGACAGCGCTGGCTCTTCGGCTTTGAAACGGAGATGAACACCGCAACCCTAGAGTCGGACTCGACTGGCTTTCGAGCAAGGGAACCTTTACCTTTACTATTCTTTTTACAAGGATGTTTCACAGTGAAGGAGGCCACAGCAGGCAATATCATTCAAGTGCCTCTGGGAGTGTTTGGGGCCGCAAACTTTCTCCAGCTCTGCATAGAAGCAAGATGCAAAGACACAGACCAAAATGCTGCAGACAAGGCAACACCTCCAGGCCACCGTGTTAGCAGTCAAGACCCCTCCCACAGATGGGCAGTTTAATGCTTAGAAACCCCTTTCATATCACCCCCAAATCATATGTGCACTGCACTCCTTGGCCTATAAATGACAAAATAGAAACGGCATGAAACAGAAAACGGATGTCTGCCAGAGACAAGTCTGGGTAGTCAGCTGTGTCGGTCTGAAGCATGAAATGTAGAGTCCAGTGGCTCTATTTTGGAAGAACAAGGTTTGTGTCCAGTGGCACCTTTAAGACCAGCAAAGTTTAATTCAAGGTATAAGCTTTCGTGTGCAAGCACACTTCTTCCGGATAGTCCAATTCTGGAAGGTGAGCCAGAATGGCTAATGACTGCCTTCTCCCCCTAAGGACATGCAATACTTTAGGTTAATGGGCCTCCCAGAGAAAACAATCTTCTCACTGAATTTATTTAATCTACACCCAGCCTCACTTCCCCCTTGTTAATTTACCCCATTAGGCAGTAGTTAACACTATTCATAAAACCAGATAGCCCTTCCCATCTGGTACTTAGCAGGTCATCAAGGAATAATGCACCATTAGCCCAACTCAGGTGAACAATCATGTGTTTCCCAAGATCTTTGTCCATCGCCAGAACAGCCATCAAATCATTGTTTTGGGTCAAACACATCAGACTACCTCAGGGAACATTTTTCCTGTAACTGTAGCTCACTGCTCCATAGCAGTGTGTGTGCTTGAAGTCAAACCTCACCCCCCCACTTGTGTGTGGGTCCTCTCCTCCTCTTTGTGAAACACTGGCTGTTTTGCTGCCTCCATGGCCCTTGATCTTCGAGATTGGTAAATATTACCTCTCCAAAACCTTTCTCCCTGCTCCTCCCTAAATTTCTTCTTAGCTAGTTTGTGTGTTCTGTGTATGTGTGCTCTTTTATTATTTTTCAATAAAACAACTTCCAGTTGAACATCTACTTTATTTTGAGTGTTCTCTCAGGGAAAATCCTGGTATACATTGGTGGAGATCCCCGTTACCCCCTTTGCTTGTTTCTATTAAGCTAATTTCCCCCAGTTAATTAGGAGACTACCAATTTAGGTAACTGTATGTGGGAAGAAGATCCTTTAATTCTATATAGTGAACAGATACATACACACACTGGAAATTTACACAAAGAAAGCAAGGCTAAAAACTCAACCAGCTGATAACAAGCTTAAGCTATATCACAATCAGGACATTTGAAGAGATTCAAAAACTTAGTACCCACAAATGGGGAAACACAGCTTCTATTTAAAGGCTGTAACTTCGGGGTGTGTGTGCGCTTTTTTCTTGCTTCCTGGGCTGTTGCTCAGAAAGGGAGAAAAAAGTCTTAAGTGATCTAAAAGACATCTTGCGTTCCAGCCAACAAAGGGCTCAGCCATCAACTGTTTTGGCTCACATATTAGAACTTCGGGCTCCAGATCTTCTTCACAACATCGGCAACTTGTTTAATCGGTGGCAACTGTCATTAAGAAAAATTGTAGCCTGTGGTGGAATTGCTGGGTGGGCTTTCAAACTTGGGCCCGGGGAAAGGCCTTCTGGCTAGCAAGAAGAGATTGCTCACAGGTTGGCTTTGTGCACTATAACTATGACCTGGCCAGTGGAACCTCGTATTGTGGAATTGGTTTCCCACCTGGGTTAGTTGAATCACATGGTTAACATCCATGCCAGCAGTTTCAAGGAAGCAGCATAAGGGACTTCCTATAAGATCAGGCAGAACAACACATGGGGAACACATTGTTTGTGTTAGGGTAGCTGAGCAGGGCCTGTGTGAAATGGCTTCAGCTACCACCATGCTGCAGCTGCTGTGGACAAAGCTGGCCTGAGCTGATTCCTATCACAAAGCCAGGGCAAGACCCTGACCTTCTGCAGTGGTCACAGAGGACACCGCTACCTCTCCTCCCAGAGAGTCTGGGGATTGGGAGTGCACGTCGTCACTTCTCAGGGCTTCTCTTGTAGCATGCATCAATTTCCATACCCCCCTCCCCCCCAGAGAAGAGGATAGGCCATATTCCATTTCTGTTCCCAGGAAACAGGGAAAGGGGGGGGGATTCCGAGGCTGACCTCATCCTGGCCGTCATACACAAGCCAATGGGCAGGACAATGGGAGCTTGCCTATTTGAGGGCAGGGGAGAGACAGGAAATGATCTTGCAGGAGGACCTGAAAGAAATCTGATTTGGAGGCCAGGGAGACCGATCTTAAGTCTCGATGGCTCTTGCTGCTTCTGAAGAACACTCTTTTCGCCTCCTTGCCGGATACGCATGCACACTGTACATTCATCTTCTCAATCCCACTATCCACCCCACCCCCCCAACATGCTCGGTCCTTGCTCCTGCCTATCCATGTGCCACTGGCAAGCAGGCCATTGGTAGGATGGAAGAAGTACCGAGCATGGTTTTGTTGATTACCCCCCCCTTCCCTGCCCACCCTTAAGAGACTGACAAATGTTAAGATGAGGTGTAGGTTTCCTCCAAGGCAGGAGCTTTCCGGCAGTAAAGTCCTTCTCATGCTCAGTAAACATGTGTTGTGGTTTCTGGCTTTCCGTTTCTTCTGGCCGATCTAGGTTCCTTTCTGGCATGGTAGATAAACTAGGTCTTTGATTCTCTCAAGTCTGCAAGGGAAGTCGAAAACGCGTGAGAAACTTAAAACAAAAAGAACCCCTAGAGTTTTGCCAAAAAAACCCCCCCCCCCCCCCCAAAAAAAACTTTTTAGCGATACGTGCCCTGTTCACATTACGGCGAACACATGCACAACCTGAATATACAAGTGCACATCAGTTTGTAAGAAAGAAGAGAAGAAGAGATTGGATTTATATCCCGCCCTTCACTTGGGGTATCAGAGCGGCTTACAAACTCCTTTCCCTTCCCCTCTTCACAACAGACACTCTGTGAGGTGGATGGGGCTGAGAGAACTCTGACACAAACGGCTCTTTTTCAAGGACAGCTGTGCCAGAGCTTGTGACTGACCCAAGGTCACATCAGCAGGTGCAAGTGGAGGAGTGGGGAATCAAACCCGGTTCTCCCAGATCAGAGTCCGCACACTTAACCACTACACCAAACTGGCACCAAAGAGCAAACACGTGTTCAGTTTTCAAACGAAACTAGGACCTCCACCTGGACAAATGTGCATTTTAGATCACACATGGAGCTGTACATGTGCTGAATGTTACATGAGAATTACTTAGTGCATATATAAACAAAAACCAAGTGTACACTGCACATGGTTTGTACATGTGTGCACCATAACTGGGCTAGAGTGAACTGACAACATTCCCTTCTCCTACTTACTGATAACCAGTCCTGCTCATCCGCTCAAGAGACTTCAGCGGAGCCAACTTCTCGCCGAAGCCCTCTGCCTTGCCCTTTCGGGGTAGGGCCGCCTCCCAGGTTCGGGGTGCAGGAACTGGTAGTCTTCCGCCAGGGCCACAGCCTCATCCCCGTTTTCCGGGTGACGCTCCCGGACCCAGCGCTGCACATCCTCCGGCAAGAGGTTCAGGAACTGCTCCAGAACCAGCTGCTCCACGATCTCCTCCTTGCTCCGGGCCTCCGGCTGCAGCCACTGGAACAAAAGCTCCTGCAGCCGCTCGTAAGCCACCTGGGGGCCTTCAGTCTCTTTGTACGCAAAGCCCCGGAAGCGTTTCCGCTGGTTCTCCGAGCCCATGTTGGAAAGGCAAGGGATGGCCTGCTCGACTTTGCCACAGCCTCCGGCCCTGCCGGCCTCCAGGCTGCCGTGAGCCTGCTGGGCATCCCCAAAGAGGTCAGGCAGGAGCATCGCTCTCCCCGGCTCCCGAGCATCCTGGCAGACGTCGGGCATTTCTTTAAAGGCTTCGGTATCGTCCTCCATCATCCTCTTTGACCCCTTCCCTTCGGCTGCAGGGGGCATGGGAGCTGGCACAATGACCTTCGAGGAAGAGGGCGCCAAGGAGGCCTCAGTCTCTGACTCTTCTTCCTGTTTCACTTGCAAGCTTGCCACGGCCTGACACTGATCGGCAGGCTGCGGTGGCATCTCTGAATGTTCAGCTCCTCCGCCTTCTGCACAGTCACCAGCCGCCTCGGGCTCATCTCTGTCCAAATCCTGACGCTCGGCCCTGATGCTGCTGGATGGATCCCTCTCCTCCGCTGGGTCAGCGCGGGAGGCATCCAGGCTCGGCTCTTGGACCTTTGAACCCATTCTTCACGGCAAGGCTGCTTCGTCAGCGCTCGTCTGCTCTGAGACGTGGGGAACAGGCTACCTTTTCTTTCCTAAGGGGGGGGGGGGGGGGGGAGAGAAAGAGTTCCTGTTCAAGCCACACTTCAGCACAGTATGTTTTGTTAGATACCTATGGATGGTGTGGAGTTGTTTTATGTTGCCCCAGGTTGGACCAGAACCAACGGGCTGAAATTAAATCAGAAGAGTTTTCGGGTACACATTAGGAAGAACTTCCTGACAGAGTGGCTCCTCAGGGGAACAGGCTTCCTTGGGAGGTGGTGGGCGCTCCTTTTGAGAGGCTAGATGGCCATCTGTCAGCAATGCTGATTCTGTGAACTCAGGCAGATCATGAGAGGGAGGGCAGGCAGGGCTGCATCAGTGCTTAGTTCCTGTGGCCCTTTCTTACACATCCAGGGAAATGCCGATCACCACTTTGGGGTCAGGCAGCCATTTTTCTCCAGGCCATTTTGTTTTTTTGATATCTTCTGGGTGTGGAACAGTGGTCACTGGGGGCATGGAGGGGGAGGTATTTGTGAATTCCCTTCATTGTGCAGGGTGTTGGACTAGATGACCCTGGAAATCCCTTCCAGCTCTGATTCTATGTGAGCAGCCTAGAACTAAAGATTCCCCAGATAAAAACATTCCCTCCAAATCAGTGTATCCACTCTCATATTATAGTTTTCTAAGTGCTGGACTTTGTATTCCCATGGAGAAGCATTCCTTTTTTCAATCCTCGTGTATTTTTATCTTCTTGTATTGTGTCTGTAAGTAGCTGAAACTTGTTATAGCTTTGTTAGCCACTTTTATTGAGAACTAAAGTGGGCTATAAATATTTTGGACACATGAGACTCCCTTATACTGAATCAGACCATTGGTCCGTCAAGGAGAGGACTGCCTATTCGGACTGGCAGCGGCTCTCCAGGGTCTCAGGCTGAGGTCTTTCACAGCACCTACTGCCTTGATCTTTTAAGAGGAGACATAAGGGATTCAACCTGGGACCTTTTGCTTGCCAATCAGAAGCTCTATAACTGGGTCACAGCCAGTGTTCCCTCTAAGATGAGTTAGTGTGAGCTAGCTCACAGTTTTTTAGCCTCCGGCTCACACATTTTTGTCTTAGCTCAGGAAGGACGGCTCCAGAGCAAACTGATTTATGCAGCGGCCAAGTTGCTCACTCACAACTTTCATGCCAGTAGCTCACAAAGTGGAATTTTTGCTCACAAGACTCCACAGCTTAGAGGGAGCATTGGTCACAGCCCCTCCCTTGTTTTGAAGTAAGCCCTTTCCTTCTGAGATGGACTTAACATGAGGGAACTGCAAAAGACAGACATCGTGTTGGCAGTAGGGGAAGAAAAAATAGAGCTTGTGTGACTCCCTTCAGCAGCTCCATTCCCTCATCCTAATATCCCAAACTGTTAACCATCTTTATAATTACTTGTTTTACGAATGGGTACCCTACACTCCGATCCTTAGCACCTTCAATCAGGAGCTACACAACAGCATGCTTGAGGCTGAAGGTTTGTCTAGTCCTGCATCCTGCTGCACTCCACAGCCAAACAGATGTCCTTCAAAGCGCTACAAGCACGGCACAGAAGCTAAGGCCTTTCCTAACTTCACTGAACAAAGGAATGCTGTCTCCAAATCTGGAAGCTCCAGGTAGCCATCATGAGGGTTGCCAGTCCCCAGATCCGGCGAGGGTTCCCCCGGCTTTCGGGGCTTCCGGCTGGTGGGAGAAACCCCGCCCCCAAACAGCAATGTAACCGCGTGATGTCCCCTACACAATGACGTCACACAGAAGTGACATCATCATGTCGGGGACATCAGCAACGCTTTGGTTTGAGGGCAAAACTCTATGGTTTGAAGCTGGTTTTATCATAAGAGTTTTGCCCAAAAGCCAGAGCATCCTCCCCAAAGTGATGCCATCACTTCCGGGTGATGCCATCACATCGGGGACATCCCAGAACACCCCCCCAAATCCCCCCACTGGCACAATGAGGGGACCTGGTAAGTGTTAACCCTAGCTCATAGGCACTTCCCTCCACGAATCTAACCCCCTTCAAAAGCTAACTAAATTAGCAGCCATCACTACAGCCAGTCAGTGTGATGTAGTGGTTAGAGGGTTGAACAAGGACTTGGGAAACCCATTTCTGAATCCCTGCTCTGCCATGGCAGCTAGCTGAGAGACCCTGGCCAATTCCATTCTCTCGGCCTAACCTACTCTTCAAAGGAAGCAAGTCACAGTCCAGTGGCACCTTTAAGACCAACAAAGTTTTATTGAAGATGTGAGCTTTTGAGTGCACGCACACTTCCATTTCATCCTCTGACAAAGTGTGTGTGCACACGAAAGCTCACACCTTGAATAAAACTTTGTTGGTCTTCAAGGTGCCACTGGCCTCTAACGTTTGTTCTATTGCTTCAAACCAACATGGCTGCCCACCTTGATCCACTCTTCAAAGGGTCATTCTGAGAATCAAATGAAAGAGGGGAGGGCAATGTTGTAAGCCGCTTTGGGTCCCCACTCAGGAAAAAGGCAAAGTAGAAAACAAAGTAAACTAAATAAATCCTAGGGCGGTGATTTTCATCAGTTAATTACTCTTTAGCTTTGTCCTTCATCAATCTATCACCTAATGGCTTCAGTAAGCCCCGGGGGAACCCAATGGAGCTTACTCCTGAGTAGCTGCACCCCTAACAGCTTTAGATTGCCCATATCTGTGATCAGAGCTCAACTCTTACCTTGTAAATAACCCTTTAAACTACCAGACCTTTATTGTTTAGATAGACATGTTAAAATGGTCAGCTTCTTTTTCATGTATGTTATTACCCCCAACACTAATTTTCGATAAGTCAATGCATCAGTATACTCCAGTGTAAGACTTCAGTGCAAAAAGCTTCTTAGCAAGGCCAGCATCGGGCAACACATATTTTTGCAAGCACAGACGATCCTGGGATGCACAGCTAACCCTTTGCCAATTGCGGGAGAAACATTTAAAACGCTTGCACCACCTGCCGGTACCCTTTCTGTTTGCAAGAGATTGATACCCGAAGCAAACAAGTCCGGCATGTTATCTAAACAATAAACGAAGCCTTGACCGCTTAATCGTTTTTTCTCCAGGAACAAGTCTTGCAAAAAACCCCAAAATCCATAAAACTGGGTCCCACCTTGAATTCCCCGCGAAATACGTTCTTAAGCGAGGCCTCCCAGCCGAAAAGGCAGCCGGAGGCTGCGATCACACACACTAAATAATCTACTTTCCAACTGGATTTTGCCAGTTCACACAGTAAAATCCAGTTGGAAAATGCATTGAAAGTGGAGCATTTAGCTTTAGCTTAAGAGTGATTTTGACGCAGGCGGGAAAGAAGAAGCCGCTTCCATCCTCTCTCTCAAAAGCCCCCCCCCCCGCTTTGTTTCCCCTCTCGCCTTCTTTGTTGCAGGGGTCTGAACGCGGCTGCAGGCGGGCCCAGAGTGCGAGCTTCTGCACGCCGCTCCTCAGCCACCTTCCGGACCGCAACTTGCGGCTGCCGTATCGAGGCCCGCCGGGTCCCCCCCAAAAGAAAGCGGCGCTTCCCCACTGGGCCCGATCGCAGCTCGTTGCGCAAATCAGTGCAGGGGCGCCGCTGCGTGGAAGCGGCCCCACCCGGTCCAGGCCGAGTCCGAATCCCAGCCCGCCCCTTCCCCTTTACACGAGAGGCCTGGCAAAAAGGGAGAAGCCGCGACCGGGCGGGACACAGACCCCGCTCGTAACACCTACCCGCTTCCAGGCCCCGCTGCGACTGAGCCTCCGAACTCCACTTCCGGGAAGGAGCCAATCACGGCTGGTGTTAGAGAGGGGGTTTTCTTAAAAAAAAAAAGACGCAACTTCCGGTGCAGTGTAAAGCCGCCATTGGTAGCTTTGTGCTCCACGGGCGCAGTTTGGCGCCGCTCTGTCTCGTGGCGTCGCTGTGCTCGGAATCTTTGGTGCGCGGACCGAGGGTTGGTTCAAGCGTCCGCGAGGAAACTAGGAGACCGCCCTATGGCGCGAGTAAATGGGGTCACGGTCCGGGTTAAAAAAAAATCTTCCAATGCATTGCTGAGATCGAAGAGAAAATGTGCAGGCAGCGTTCTGCCCAGGCACTTGTAAAAAGCCGACTTTCCAGTTTTGCAGCCAATGAACAACCCTCCTCCTCTTTCCATCTCTTTTTGTTCGTTTAATAATCTCGAGGTTTTCTAGGATCTTAGGTGCGACAGAGCAGGCGGGAGTACAAAGAGCCCAGAAAAGAACAACCCCTCTATTCCTCCCTCAATCCAAATATCACATGAAGGTAAATCCTACGCGTTGCTCAACTCCATGGGCTACTCGAGGGATGCGTGGCCCCTGCATTTTGTCTCCCTGCCCCCGCCACCCCCCCAAACTTTGGTGGCTCTGGCAGCATGAGGCAAAACTTGCTGTGTTCTCAACAGGTTAAGTCTTCAAAAGTGTTAACCAATTGGTGATGTAAACATATTATGCAGGTTCTAATATAATTCCCATTTTACAGATCTGCAGCCAAGTCTGAGATAGCAATTTGCCCAAAGGCGAGCTTTTGCAATCTTCCCTAATCTCATCAGTGCCAGTACATAGTATACTAGATTACTGCATCAAATGTCTTTACATATGACCTTTAAAAGATTTTTTTTTAATATACTTGTTGACTGATCCTGCTATTCCAGAGTAAAGGCCAAACAAACTGTTCACTTAATATTTAACCTTAGGTAACATTGCAGTTCTTAGTTTTTTTAAAAAAAGTTACTTTCATTGTTTTATGACAATTAGTTTTTGTGATTAGTATATCATATTTGTTGATTTGTTAAAAAATAAAAAGTACTTAATCATGGTAATACTCTTAATATTGGTGACCAATATTTGATGGATCAACTCACCTAGATAGACTAAACCTAAACCCACTGTCAGCCTGCTTCACAAAGCAGTGGCTGGATGAACACTTCTCAGGGATACTATAAACTAATCCTGCATTGAGCAAGGGGTTAGGATTAGATGGCTTGTATGACCCCTTCCAACTCTGTAATTCTAGTCAGGTGGGCTAGCCCTAACCTGTGATAGTATTGCTTAAGTGAAGTCTTTTTTAAAGTGAGATGTTAGAAATCTTGCTGGTACCACATTACAGTCAGTGTTTAATGTGTTGGCAAGGAGAACCTTAGTTACAGTCAATGTTCCCTCTAAGCTGTAGAGTCTTATGAGCAAAAATTCCACTTTGTGAGCTACTGCCATTAAAGCTATGAGCAGTAATTTGGCTACTGCATAAATTAGTTTGCTCTGGAGCTGTCCTTCCTGAGCTAAGAGAAAAATGTGTGAGCCGGAGGCTAAAAAACTGTGAGCTAGCTCACACTAACTCAGTTTAGAGGGAACACTGGTTACAGTATTCCATATTTATCATTAAAACATTTCTAACCCGTATTTTCCCCCTCCTTAAAGGGGTCAAGGCTGCTTATTCCCAGGCTGGAAGCTAGATTCAGAGTCTGTAATACAATGTAGTATAGTGATTAGAGTGTTAGACTAGTGTCTGGGATACCTAGGTTCAAACCTACACTCTGTCACAAAGCTTGCTGGGTGACCTTGGGGCAGTCACACGCTCTCAGTATTAGCTACCTCACAGGGTTGTTGTGAGGATAAAATGGAGGAGAGAAAAGCAATGTAAGATGCTTTGGTTCCTTATTGGGGTGAAAGGCTGTTAACACAAAATAACAGTTAATTATGTTGGAGTAGAGTACCCACACAGCCACAAAGCTTACCGGTGACCTTGGCTCACCAGCTCCCAGTGTAACCTGCTTCATAAGATTGTTGTGAGGAGAAGTGCTGGCAGAACGATCTGTGCTGCCCTGACCTCTTTATAGGAAGACTGAGATAAAAATTGAATCATAAATAATCTGTAAACCCTGTGGCTGAATCTCTAAAGTTTCTGCCAGAGAAAATAGTAATTTGCCCAAAGGCGAGCTTTTGCAATCTTCCCTAATCTCATCAGTGCCAGTACATAGTATACTAGATTACTGCATCAAATGTCTTTACATATGACCTTTAAAAGGTTTTTTTTTAAATATACTTGTTGACTGATCCTGCTATTCCAGAGTAAAGGCCAAACAAACTGTTCACTTAATATTTAACCTTAGGTAACATTACAGTTCTTAGGTTTTTTTAAAAAGTTACTTTCACTGTTTTATGACAATTAGTTTTTGTGATTAGTATATCATATTTGTTGATTTGTTAAAAAATAAAAAGTACTTAATCATGGTAATACTCTTAATATTGGTGACCAATATTTGATGGATCAACTCACCTAGATAGACTAAACCTAAACCCACTGTCAGCCTGCTTCACAAAGCAGTGGCTGGATGAACACTTCTCAGGGATACTATAAACTAATCCTGCATTGAGCAAGGGGTTAGGATTAGATGGCTTGTATGACCCCTTCCAACTCTGTAATTCTAGTCAGGTGGCTAGCCCTAACCTGTGATAGTATTGCTTAAGTGAAGTCTTTTTTAAAGTGAGATGTTAGAAATCTTGCTGGTACCATTACAGTCAGTTTTTAACGTGTTGGCAAGGAGAACCTTAGTTACAGTCAATGTTCCCTCTAAGCTGTAGAGTCTTATGAGCAAAAATTCCACTTTGTGAGCTACTGCCATTAAAGCTATGAGCAGTAATTTGGCTACTGCATAAATTAGTTTGCTCTGGAGCTGTCCTTCCTGAGCTAAGAGAAAAATGTGTGAGCCGGAGGCTAAAAAACTGTGAGCTAGCTCACACTAACTCAGTTTAGAGGGAACACTGGTTACAGTATTCCATATTTATCATTAAAACATTTCTAACCCGTATTTTCCCCCTCCTTAAAGGGGTCAAGGCTGCTTATTCCCAGGCTGGAAGCTAGATTCAGAGTCTGTAATACAATGTAGTATAGTGATTAGAGTGTTAGACTAGTGTCTGGGATACCTAGGTTCAAACCTACACTCTGTCACAAAGCTTGCTGGGTGACCTTGGGGCAGTCACACGCTCTCAGTATTAGCTACCTCACAGGGTTGTTGTGAGGATAAAATGGAGGAGAGAAAAGCAATGTAAGATGCTTTGGTTCCTTATTGGGGTGAAAGGCTGTTAACACAAAATAACAGTTAATTATGTTGGAGTAGAGTACCCACACAGCCACAAAGCTTACCGGTGACCTTGGCTCACCAGCTCCCAGTGTAACCTGCTTCATAAGATTGTTGTGAGGAGAAGTGCTGGCAGAACGATCTGTGCTGCCCTGACCTCTTTATAGGAAGACTGAGATAAAAATGGAATCATAAATAATCTGTAAACCCTGTGGCTGAATCTCTAAAGTTTCTGCCAGAGAAAATAGTACTGAACTAAACAGAGCAATGGCCTGACGGAATATAAAGCATTTTCAAATGTTCAGGTCATAGAGTACTAGGTTGGATCCAGTCACTTTTTCTGCTGGTGAAAAAGGGAGAGAGTTCCCTTTGGCCACCAAAAAGACTATGCTGGGGATTATGGGACGTGTGTGGACAGAAGTCACGTGGGATGGGGGCTCTGGTAAGGTGAGAACTGTGTAAAATTGTACAGGCAAGCTGACCAAATCCATCCCACTCTCAACAAATGTTCCTTCTGATCCCAAAAGTGACAACAGATCTTATTTAGATAAGAATTAAGAGGCAGATGGCAGGAATCACAGAATCCATCAAGGGAAAAAGTCATCTGATTGAGTGATTATAAGAAATAACAGGATTCAGTTAGAAAATAGCCACTGTTTGCTATAAAACCAGGATAAACCACATAAACCTTTTAAGATGTCTAACCCAAGATTTTCTCCAGAGGCAGAGTGTGCTTTTTGTTTTGCGAGATTGTCATATTTTGATTTCCCTGCCCCTTTGCCTCAAACGCAGATGGGATTTATTGCCCACACAGAAAAGTGAAAAAGCAAAAACTGGTTCCCAGTTGCTTTATTTTGATCTGAGCAGGAAAGGGAAGAAACAGCCACTACCGTATAAAAAACACAAATAAACTCTAGTTTAACATTTAAAAGGCAAACGAAATCATGACAGCATCAGCACCACTGCAGGCAAAGAGCATCAGCTCTGGAGCTTCTAAGTCTTGCTGCAGCCTGAGCAACTTATATGATGTTCTAAGGGGGGCGGGCGGGGGGAGAGAAGAATCTAGCAAAGTCAGTCACAGAACTCAGAGGACAAGAGCTGAGGGCACTGTCGTTGCTAAAACTGAGGCCTTCATCCTAATGCTGTCACTATTGCTGTTGAATTTCTTGGTTGCCTTGGTGTTGGGGTATGTTCAGGCCATTCAGCGGTTC